TGAAGTCCCTACCTATTCCCACTTGTAATTCGTTTAGCTTTTTCTTTATGATTTTGGATGCTATAGCATTTGGTGCATATAGGTTTAGTATTGATATTACTTCATTATCTGTGGTGCCTTTTATCATAATGTAGGTAGTTTCCCTGTTTATCTTTTAATTAAACCTATTTTAGCTTTAACTTTGTCTGAGATCATGATTGCTACTGCTGCTTTTTTTTACATCAGCTTAAACATAATAAATTCTGCTCTATCCCTTTATTTTTACTCTATGTGTATCATTTTTAAATGTGTTTCTTGTAAACAACATATTGTCAGATTCTAGTTTTTAATCCATTCTGCTATCCATTTCCATTTTTTGGATGAGTTCATTCCATCCACATTCTAAGTTATAATTAGTAGTTGTACATTCTTCTCCATCCTATTTTTCCTTGCTGTTGATCCTTCTCTCCCTCTCTTTTTACCCTATCCCTTCTCAGATGGAAGAGACCCTCCCTTATCCTCTCCCCTTACCTTCCTAATCTCTGATCTACCCACTCTTCTAAGAGTACGTCCCTTATTTTGTCCCTTTGCCCTCTTATTTCCTAACCACCACAGTAGCTTTCTATAGTCTGGTTCTTTCTCTTTTACTTACTGTTTTTTATTTGTTTGTTTTAGCAGCTTATTTCTTGGCTGCTAAGTTTGTACTAGGAGTCAGGCTCTACTCCTGAGACATAGGGGATAATATCTCAGGCTTCAGGTGTTTTGAGCTGCTGTTCTCTGAGCTCTGTCTGGAGACCTGACCTCAGGTACTCCTTTCCTCCCCTAAGCCACGTCTGTAATTTTGTCACCATAAAAGCTCTTACAACCTGAAGTCCCTCCTGTGGCTGCAAGCTTCAGCTCACCCCTTTGCCCTGGAGCCAAAACCAGGGATTCTGCTCTCCTGTGAGTGACCACAGCCACAGGGCCCAGTCTTCTGTCACTGCACTCATCCATGAGCTCACTCCTCCTTGCTCTCAGCCTCAGCCTAATACCATATCTAGTCAGCGCACCTACACCTGGATTCCAGCACCAGCAAAGGTTCTGCAGTTTTCCTCTGATCAGACCTCTGACCCCCACACTGTTCATGGGGTGTAAGTTCCTGAAGCTGAGGCTGTGGCCCCAACACAGATGCCCCCAGGACTTGTTTGTTGATTCAGTGGTTTCTGCCCAGAGGCATGTGCACTTCAGTGAGGCCAGACCACCACCCTAGGAGGTCAGGCCTTTCCTAACTTCCTCCCAAGTTGTCTTAGGCTGGCCAACTGCTTTCCCCCACCTCTTAATTATTTCTGATGTTCACTTTGAGACATTATTTTAAATTATTCATGGGGGAATTTGGGAGAGCTCGGTAATTTCCTGCCTTATTCTGCCATCTTTCCAGAATCTTCTTGGAGAATAATATTGTTAAGTGCACAAAATAGATAAGATTGAAAAGGAAACCAATTATGTGGAACATAGTTATCAAAATATTTTTACTAACAAGTTCATAGGCCCCAAGTTAAGGTCTCCTGGCCAACAGGAACTGGAAGGGTTAACTGAAGCTCTGTGAATTGGGATGTTATGCTATCACGGCTAGAGATCAAGATTCAGAAGGAGGCTGCTTTCTGAGGAAAATGGCATTCTAGTTTTTCCTCAATGGTTAATGTATTGTTGTAATGTTCTATACATCATAACTGGTTTTGATATTTAATTAAGGTTTTGTGCCAGAAATCTGGATTTCATTTCTTTAAAGTTTCTGCAAACAACTGAATGTAGAAATAAATGGAAAGCATTTAAAATAAAAAAGCAGATTCATTACTTTAAAAAATTTAAAAAAACCTGAACTTCTCCCTTATTTGTAGCAGCCCACTGACTGATTTGGTCTAAGATTAAGACAGTCAGATAGAGCAATGGATAGAGCACTGAACCTGGAGTCATAAAGACCTGAGTTCAAATTCTGACTCAGCCACTGACTAGCTTCATGACCCTGAACAAATCTGCTAACTTATTTCTGCTTCAGTTTCAACTATAAAATGGGAATGATAATAGCACCTACCTCCCCAGATAAAATTTGTAAAACACTTTGTAAATCTTACAGTGCTCATAAGTAATAGCTACAAATATTCCTATTTCTTAAGACTAGAAACAGAATTTTTAAATCAAAATCTGTGAAGATATTTAACTGCGACACTAGTTGAATATCAGAATTGAAAGGGACCTTAGAAATCACCCACTTTACTCATTTACAAGTGAGAAGGCACTCAGTAACAGCAAATGACTTATCCAAAGTCCCATAATCACCTAGTGGCAAAGCTGTTTCTAGGACTTGTGTCTCCAGACTCAGTCTAATGTCCTTTTCACAGTACAACAAAGAAAGAAGAACATGAAGAAAAAAAAATAGAAGCAAGGAGTGGTGGAAAGAGAGCTTAGAGTCAGGGGAGATTCAGGTTTTAATTTAATTTAATCTGATATTTCACAAGCTGTGTGACTGTGGGCAAGTCTTTGATTTCCAGGATCTTGAGTTTGCTCTTCTGTGGAATGAGAATAATACCAGCTCTATGGCCTACCTAAAGCATGGTTGCAAGGATCAAAAGAGATAATGTATGTACAGTGCTTTGCAAGCCTTGAAGCCTAACATAAATGTCGACTGTTACTACTAATGATCAGACCCTTGGAGTGAAGTCACCACTTGGTTGCAACTGCCATGCATTCAATTAATGGATCGCCAAGTGTAATCCATAGAGGTCTTAGGACTGATCCAGAACTCCAGTGTGCGATGTGTCAATGGGAGGAAAAGACAAGACCACTTACTAAGAGAAGCTTCTTTGTCTGAAATTCACTAGCTAGGCAGTTCTTGCAGTCTGGTGCCATAGTTGATTGCTTACATAAGATGGAAGGGAGAAAGATGAAGGAAATGTAAAGAAACTCTGAAAGCTTTGCTTTCTCTTTATCCCCAGCCTCATGCCCAAGCACAAATCTACACCCCTACTTCATCACCCCTTCCAAAGCCTTGCTATTGCTTTGTCTGGTACCTCATTTTTGAAAGGAAGCAAAATGCTGCCTAGTGATTGAGAATGAAATTGGGTCAGATAAAAGTCTCTGTTCCATTCCAGCCAAACTAATGTCCAATGTATGACCTAGGGCAGGAGCTGAACCACTCTCTTTTAGTTTTCTCATTTGTAAAATGAATTATAATAAAGTGATGTCTAAAATGTACTTTGAGACACTCAGAAAATATAATTCTATTTGTAAGACATTCATAATATATTTATAAGGCATTCAGCTCCATTCTCCCCTATGCACCAGGAATCATGTATTCCTGTTTATAGAATTGACCAGAGGCTTCTCTTCCCCTGTCAGTGGGCAGAATCACCTGCCTCTGCCCAGCTCCTGTGTCCTTGAAACGCAGAAATGTAAAAAGAGGAAAGGTTTTAAGAGATAATTCTGGAGACCCGTAAGTTTTTTGTTTTTCAAAATGTTATGATCTAGAGAGGGATGTGTTTACTACTCTTCAGTGCTCTGGTCTGTGATTAACCATCAGCACTTTTTTCTGCCCTCCAACTGTGACCAGGACCCCTGCTCCTGTAGGGCCACAAACCCTGGCATGCTAGTGCACCTCCTTACCCTGGGACTGTGATCCAGGGTGGCAACCTGGAGTCCTGTCCTGAGTGCCAGCAGAGGGATCCCTGCAATCTCCTTCTGACCAGCTGTCAGTTCCCCTTACCGTCTGTGGGCTGAGAACTCCAAAAACTGCCACTGCTACTGTGCCCCAGCTACTTCAGTCACCCACAAGGCCTGCTGCTAATTTGCTGGGGTGGAATCTGCACTGGGGTGGCCTGTGCCAGCCTGCATTCCACTCTCACCTGGGTACAAGGGACCTTATCTGCCAATCTTCTAAGTTGTCTTAAGCTACAAATTTGTTTCAGGTGGGTTCTGCCACTACAGAATTTGTTTTAATACCTAGTTGTTTGAAGGGGAAATTTGGGAGAGTTCAGGCAAGTCCCTGCCTTTTTTCTGCCAATTTGGCTCCGCCCCCCAATAGGAAGGATTTTTCAAAAACTGTACCCATGCCCCAGGAAGAATTTGGAGATCTCTTCCTACTCCAGTGGGGCAGAGATTATCATTCTTAGTCAGTGGGTAAAAATTTATTAAGTGCCTACTTGTGTGCTGGGCACTGTGCTAAGCAATGGAGATAAAAAGAAAGGCAAAAGATAGTCCTTGCTCTCGTGGAGCTTACAGTCTGATGAGAGAGTCAACCTGCAAACAGCTGTGTACAAACAAGATATATACAGGATAAAATAGAAATAATCAACAAAGGGAAGACACTAGACTTAAGGGGGAGCAGGAGAGACTTCCAGGGGACGGTGTAATTTTAGATAGGACAAATTCTCCCCATAAAAAGCAGCCCCTTGTGCCCCTCCCTCCATCAGCTTGAATCCATTTTGTATTACATGTTATCTCCCAGAACATAAGCTTCTGTATAGCAGGGACTGCTTTACTTTTCCTTTGTATTTTCAGTGTCTAGTACAGAACCTAGCACATAGTAGCTTGCTTAATAAATGCTTATGGTTTGAATGACTGAAAAAATTTTTTAAAACCATTTAATGAGTGCATTCTGATTGTCACTAAGGTGTATGACTTCAGTTACTTTTCTTCATATCTCTGTGCCTTTGGGCTAAAAAGAATAATAGTAATAATAATAATAATAATAATAAACATTTATATATTCTTAGTATATGCCAGGCACTGTGCTAAGTACTTTACAATGATTATCTCTCTTCCAGCTTGAAACCTATGATCTTATGAATGCAAAGGAATATTTAAGGTGTTAGGAGTTTAGCTAGCTCACCCTACCCTCATGGGGCTTACAGTCTAGTAGATCTATAAGCCCTCATTATATATGACTAAACCTCAGAGAATATGGTTCATTTCAGTTCATTACCTTGTGAATCACTATGTATTGACCATAATATGCTGAAATAGCCTATGCTTTCTTTCTGCCACAGGTTGACCTGGGCCTTCTCCGTTTTGTCTCTGCTATTGGGACACAGGGAGCCATATCAAAAGAAACTAAGAAAGAGTACTACGTCAAGACTTACCGAGTGGATATTAGTTCCAATGGTGAAGACTGGATCACCATAAAAGAAGGGAACAAACCAACTGTAAGCTTGGCTGCCATCCCTTTCACTGATTGGGGTTTTATTTTAGTTTGTTTTGTTTTGAGTAGTCAATTTGCATCTCATTTCTTTTTTTCTTAGACCTGGTTTTATTCTTTTAACTGACTTCAAATGAAAAGTGCAGTTAGAAACTCGAGCTGGACCCACATGCCTCACTTTCCTAGTTTTAGAAACAAAATGGAAATTATTCAGTCTTCCAAGAAAAGTCAATACTAGCTAGATTAAATATCACACTTGACTCACTTTAAATATCCCACCGAGGCATAGATTGTATATGAAATAAATAATGTTTTCTTGGAACCTTGAGAAGCATATTATTTCCCATTTTCCTTCATTCCTTTTTATGATTTCTCCCTCCCTCCTCTATAACTAAATAACTTTTAAGAAAACTTTTTATCTAGCCAGTGCATCTTGCAAGCCAATCTATAGTTTTTGACTGCTTCTCATGAGAACTAAGAGAAATGAGGGTCATTCATCCAGTCCGTGTAGAATTTACATGCTGTCCCTTTAGGGTTCCCAACGCGGAGGCAGGATCTTGCTAGGTCTCTTGGGCTCTCTGCACTAATTCATTTGGACTTGGGGAATGTTCTGGGGTAAACAGCTTACTTGAAATTATGCTTGCCTTGATTTACTAACCCAAAGATTTCTGGGAACTCGTATTTATCGATTGCCAAGAATTAAGAGCTTGTCCTTGGGGGCAGAATAAATCACCAGGAGAAGAGAAATACAGAAACTCAAATCTAGGTATTGTGAAATCATGAATATGTAAGGAGTGGGCATAATAATAATAAATAGTCATAATAATAATAGCTAGAATTCATATAGTATTTTAAGATTTACTAAGCACTTTACATATTCTCTCATCTGATCATCAGAACAATCCTGTGCTGTAAAAGCTATTACTATACCTCTTTTACAGATGAGGAAACTGAGGCTCAGAGAAATTAAGTGACTTGCCCAGAACTGCATAGCTATTGTCTAGGGAAGGATTTGAACTCAGATCTTCCTGATTCCAAATCTAACACTCTTTATCTACCACTCCATCTAGCTGCCCAAAACGGCTACCTTGACTCTGTTTCTCTTTCAAACTCCAACGGACTGAGTAATCTTCACATGTGGAAGGAGAGAGAAGAGAATATTTCTCAATGCATGGCAGGAGAAAAGCTTTTTTAATACCCCTTCTGAAGTATCATTAGCAAAATTTTTCTTGGAGGGCTGATATGCAAGCAGCAGGACTGTATATAGTACTCATGCAACCACTGTCTTTGTCGGGCATGCGTCTTTTCAGACCAGAGGAATACATAGAACTCCCCATGAGGGAGTGAGGAAGACAGGAAAAAAACAATTTCTCCCCAGGCACCATGAATGTGTATAAGGAATCAACCTGGTCAGCAAAGAAAGAAAACAGTTCAGAATCTCCTGACTTGATGGAATATTCTTGGTTTAGAAAGCCCTTTTTAGAAGTCGCGACACAAGATAAAAAAGATATAGCTAAAGAAGAAGATACACAGTGAAAAGACAAAAACCAGAGAGGGTGAGAACCATGCCTGAGTAACTGAGCTCAGGTTTCTCTTTAAAACACAGTTCTGTCCATAAACTTTGTGCTATTTGTCTGAAGACAATTTTTTTAGAAATTCTCTTTCTTTTAGCTGGTATTTATAATTCCAGCACTGAGTACAGTGGCTGGCGCATAGTAAGTGCTTTAAAAATTCTCATTTTCTTCCTTCCCATTCCTCAATGAGTGTCCTCCTATCCCCAAATAAAAGAGAGTTGGCTTCCTGGGTATATTTGAATTGGTGCTCCCATGGTACTAGGTCCATTTTGGAGGAGTTGCCCAACTAAAGGATTTCAGAGACAACAGAATAGTGATTCTGATGAAGCATGTTGCTGAGCCACACCAAGTCTGAATGTATTCCAAATGTCCCTCTTCATTACCTTTGTCCTTTTCAACATCTCTGGTAAAATCCCTCTCTTGACTGCCCTCCTCTTCCTCAGTTAACCTCAAGTAGAGTTGGGTGTGGTCCATTGCCATAACCAAGTTTCGGCTGTTCCTTTTCAAGGAGCCCAAATTTTCCTGAAACCAATTGAAAGGACAGACTGACCCTTATCATCAACCCTCTCATAGACTGATTTGTTTCTGATACAATGGAAAGAGAACTGGATTTAGAGTCAGAATATCTGGGTTCAAATATTGACTCAGCCACCTCTGACCTTTGTAACCTATAGCAAGTAACTTAGCCACTCTGGGGTTCTGTTTCCTTATCTCTTAAATGAAAAGGTTGGATTTGATAACCTCTAAGATCCATTCCAGTCCATGCTGCTATGATTCCTTAGAGCAAATAGTTTGCCCTTGTACATGTAGAGATTATGACTAATGCTCCTTTTAGATATTTTAAGCTGCGACTATCCATAACTCCTTGTCACACAAAAAGGCTCATTCATAGATAACTTCTCAGTGATGTCTTAGAAGCAGAACAGAACCTGGAAAGCTTTCATGGGCTGTAATAAATTTTTATATTAAATTGTCTCCTGAGAAGGATTTGGATAACATACTTCTTAAACTTTTGACTATCTTCAATTAATGCAGCAGCCCCTAAAACCAAGAGACTAGGGAGGGAAATGAGCCTGATGAAAACACAAGCCTGATATCCTTGGACCTAGGAGGGAAGAGAAAGGTCTTGGGAAACCACAGCTTACCTGCGCTATATGGAGAAGGCTGAGGGATGGTCCCTATCCCTACACTGACTGTTGGTGCTACTACTCAGGGACACAGTTATAGCTGCACAAACAACAGGGGGAATTGAGGCACAGGGCTAGGCACACGGTAGACATGGTAATATAATATTACATTCCTATGTCATAATTTCTTCTGTCATTCCCCAATTTGGGGGCACCCATTTTCCTTCTAGTTCTTTGCTATTTCAAAAAATGCTGCTATAAATACTTTTGTATCAATGAGTCAAAGGATACATATACAGTTTAATGACTTTTTAAAAATGTAACTGCTTTCCAGAATAATTGAACTAGTACACGGCTCCAAAAGTTGTACATTAGAGTACCTGCATTTCCACTACCTTTCCAATATTTTTTCAATATGTTCACCTTCTTCAATCAATAGAGATGAGATAAAAATTTAGAGTTGCTTGAATTTGCCTTTCTCTTCTTATCAGTGATTCAGAAATTTTTTTTCATATATTGATAGCCAGAATTTCTTCTTTTGGAAACTGCCTGTTTGTATTCTTTAAACCACTGACCTACTGGAAATGACTTTTGTTCTTATACAACAGTATCAATTCCCTATTTATCTTAAAAATCAGAGCTTTATCAGAGATATTTTCTATGAAGGTTTTCCCAATTAACTGCTTTTCTTCTCATTCCAGTTGTACTGATTTTGTTTATTCAAAAGCTTTTCAATTTTCTGTAAGCAAATTTGTCTATTCTATCTTCCTGTTCAGCTAAGAATTTATTACTTAGTTAAGAATTTTCCACCTAGCCACAGCTGTTCAAGATACCTCTTTCCATTCTCTTCTAATGTTTTGCGATTGGACCTTTAATATTTAGGTTGTATATCTATTTGGAGCTTCTTGTAATATATGGTATGAGATGTTAGTCCTATGACTCCACGTTTATCTCTCTCTCCAATGCATTATGCCGCCAGTTTGCCTTAGCGCAATAAATGAGGCCAGCAGAGCCATTAAATTCTAAGCAGCATGATGCCTTTACCTATGACTAATGGACAGATGGGAAGCTTCTCTTCTTTGTATGTCTGGGAACATAAAATAGTATGAATTCTCATAGAGAATTTCTATAGCATTCTGCAGGGACTTATGGTGAAGTTAATAGTTTCACTATTTATAAATAATGTTATATATCCTTTACCAAAAGTTATTTTTGCAACAATGCTTGTCTTTCTCTAATCTTGGCTTCCTCTAGACCCATAGAAAGGCAAATAGATGATTAGCATAATATACTATGTTAGACATGGGTTATTTCTGAGGTTTGTGGAAAAGACATGGCAAGTTATTGAAGCTGCCTCATTCTTTATAGAAAAAAATGCTGGGATTGTAAATGATTTTCTGAAAAATCTTTTTCTTTAAAGACATAACGTGCTTAAAGATTCCTTCTCTTTCTTTATATAGATCTTCCAGGGGAACACCAACCCCACAGATGTTGTGTATGGAGTTTTCCCCAAGCCTTTCATAACACGTTTTGTCCGAATCAAGCCAGTAACCTGGGAAACTGGTATATCAATGAGATTTGAGGTTTATGGCTGCAAGATAACAGGTAAGCTAAAATACTGCATATTGTTTTCCTTTTGGGGAAATTTGGATTTAGGGGAGAAAGTAAGTCTATGTTTATTTTATATTTATATCCTATACAGTTGTTAAATGTTAATTTATAAATATCATATCATGTATTTATTTAAATAGTTTCTTCTGAAGATCATATTATGTTAACTTTTCTGCCACTACCTGTGTGACCTAGGTCTAGATCAGGGTGGGGAACCTGAGGTCTCTAGGCCACATGTGACTTTCTAGGACCTTGGGTGTAGCCTTTTGACTGAGTCCAAGTTTTATAGAACAAATCCTTTTATTAAACGGATTGGTTCTGTGAAGTTTGCATTCAGTCAAAGGGTTGCACTTGAGGACCTAGAAGGCCACATGGGGCCTCAAGGCCCCAAGTTTCCCACCCCTGGTCTAGACAGTTAAATTCTCTGGGCCTCAGTTTCTTCACCTGAAAAATTAGGGGATTACACACTAGATCTTTCAGGTCCCTTCCAACTCTAAATACTATGACTGTATGGTTTAGCTTTGCAAAGTCTGTTAAGTCAGAGATTTTTAGAGATTAAATTTAGTTTACACATGTGAAAATAAATAATATTTCATAGTTAATTTATTAAAAGCAATCAACAAATTAATATATCCCCATCTAATGAATAGAGAATACTTTTTTATTTCAATTTACTTCAACAAACATGTTTTAGGTGGGGGTGGAGGAAGGGAAGGGAATAAGCATTTATATAGTGTCTATTACATGCCAGGCACTGTGCTAAGCACTTTACAAATATTTGATGCTTACAACAATCCTGGTAGGTGAGTGTTATTATTACCCCCATTTTACAGAGGAGGAAACTAAGGCAAATAGAGGTTAATGACTTGCCCAGGGTCACACAGCTAGTAAGTATCTGAGGCCACCTCAAACACCACAGAACTCAGGTCTTCCTGATTCCAGGTCCTCCAGTGTTCTAACCATTGCGACACCTGGCTGCCCCTGTACTTTCTATGTGTAAGCCACTGAATTAGGTGATGAGAACACAAAGACAGAAAAAGTCACTTATATCAAAGAAACTATGTTCTATTGAGTGAAAAATAAAACTGAAAAATGCCACCTAATTTGAGGAAGAGATGGAATTAGGAACTGGAAGGACAAAGGAAAAAACTTGAAGTAGGAGGAGACTCCTTACTTAAGCTTTGAAAGAAGCCAGGCATTCTGAGAGGTAGATGGGAGGTGGGAGTACATTCCAGGTTGTGAGGCACAGCCTGTGTAGTGGCCTGGAGGTGAGACACAAGATGTAATATATCAAAGACCAGAGACCAACATGCCAGAGGACTATGACGTATGTTTAGAAAGGTAGATGAGAGCCAGACCGTGTAGGACTTTAACTGACAGGCTATTTGATGCTGGGGGCAACAGGAAGCCAATGGAGATTTTTGAGTAAGAAAGTGATATGATCAGACATGTGTTTTAGTAATGTTAATTTTACAACTGTTTAACTGATGAATTGGAGAGGGAAGAGATTAGAATCAGGAAAACCAATGAAAAACAATATTACAACATTCCAAGTAAGAGGTGATGAAGGACTGGAGTGCTTAGTAATAGCCATGTTAGTACAGAAAATGAGAAAGACACGGGACGTGCTGATAGAGAAGGATGTGCGATAAAACTTAGCAACTTAGTGGTTAGAAGCTGGGAAGGAAAATGCTAAGAGGTGGGATTAGAGAGTCAAAGTTAACTCTGAAATAGCTAGCGTTTATATAGTGCCTTACAAATATTGTCTCATGTGATCCTCAAAACAACCCGGGGAGGTAGGTGCTCCTTTTATCCCCATTTTACAGATGAAGAAACTGAGGCAGACAGAGATGAAATGACTTAGTCCAGAGTCACACAGCTAGTAAGTGTCCGAGAATTTGAAGTCAAGTCTTCCTGACTCCAAGTCCATGATATTTGATATTTCAAACCTGAGTGATTATTAGGATAGTAGTGTCACCAACAGGAATAGAGTTGAAGGATGGTTGGGTTCAGATAGGAAGATAGTATATTTTGTTTGGGACATATTGAGTTTGAGAGGGCTACATAAAGACGTCCAATAGGCAGCTAATGACTAAAGTTCAGGAGAAAGGTTGGGGTGGTACATGAACACACACACACACACACACACACACACACACACACAAATTTGGGCATCATTTGTAGAAAGATGATCATTAAACTTATAGGGATTGCTGAGATCATTGATAGATTCTAGAGAGAAAATAAAAGAAGTCAAGGCAGAACCTTAGGGAATGTCCTTGATTAGAGGACAGAAGATCAATGATGATCCAGCAAAAGAGAATAAGGAAGAGTGGTTGAAAGATTAGGAAGAGAAATAGAGCAGTGTCACTGAAACGAAGGGAAAGGGAGGTTTTAAACAGTGTCAAAAACTGTAGAAAGATTAAGTGGCCAGGGAACTAAGTGAAAAACAAAAACAAGAAATATTGTGCTTAACAGTTAAGGTGTCATTGCTGACCTTGGAGAGGCCAGCGTCACATCCTCCTCTCCCACTTCATATCCATCAGATTCACAAAGCTGACCTCAAAAAGAAAACGGCACTGTCCAGAAGCCATATAGCAAATGATTGAGAAATGAGTGGGAGATGGGACAATGGAGGCCATGAGTCTAGTCAGAGGTGGGGGAACCTGTCGCCTCAAGGCCACATATGGACCTCTAGGTCCTCAAGTGCGGCCCTTTGACTGAATCCAAGTTGGATTCAAAGGGCCACACTTGAGGACCTAGAGGGCCACGTGAGGCCTTGAGGCTGCAGGTTTTCCACCCCTTGTCTAGGTAATTTGCTCTTCCTAGAGAATCTGAGGGACTAGCTTCATAGCCTCTTCTGAAGAGGGCAAGGTATGAGGTGTACCCAGAAAATATCCCTCACATGAAGCAAATTCATGCTTTCCAACCTCTGGGCCATAAGAAGCTCCCCCCACTTTCTATCCCTGACCAGGACTTTGTGTGCCTGGAGGTTCAGATTCTTCAAAGAATTTGTTTAGGATCTCTGATCTCAAGTAAGTGCAGGCCTTACAGAAAATGTCAGAACAGGAGAGGACTGTAAATATCACCTCCTCTAACAAATCCATTTTTTAAGGGCAGAAGACTTGAAAAGTTTAAAAAACTTTTATCATTTTATATGCATGTTTTCAGGGATTTGTTTTTCATTACCATAAATTCCAGCCCTGTTATTTATTTGTGTGTGTGTGTGTACATGTATATATACATACTTTTTAAAACCAACATTTTGAAAAAGAAAAATATTGATATTGTTAGATTCAGTGGAATAAATGAAAAGAAAATAATCAGCTAAACCATTTTCCATAAAATAAATAATTATGTTAAGACCTAACTGAGAAGGAAATTATACTTGCTTACAGTATAGGCACTTGAAAAATGATGCTTTTTTTTTTCTTACCACACTGATTGTTTTTCTACTTGAGGCAGTCCTGTTTGGTAAATACCAAAGGACTCTGAACGTGAAAAGAGAGAGGAGAGGAAGGGAATGAGGGAGGAAGGAGGAATGGAAGGATGGAAGAAAGAAGGGCAGGAGGAAGGGAAAGAAGGAAGAAAAGGATGGAGAAAGAGAAAGAAGGAAGAAAAGAAGGAGGGAGAAAAAGGGGAAAAGGGTAGGGAGGAAAAGAAAGGAAAGAGGAAGGAAGCAAGAAGAGAAGGAAGAAAGAAAGAAGAGAAGGAAGGAAGGGAGGAAGGGAGAATGGGAGGAAGGGAGAAAGGGAGGAAGGGAGAAAGGGAGGAAGAGAGGAAGGAAGGAAGGAAGGAAGGAAGGAAGGAAGGAAGGAAGGAAGGAAGGAAGGAAGGAAGGAAGGAAGGAAGGAAGGAAGGAGGGAGGGAGGGAGGGAGGGAGGGAGGGAGGGAGAGACAGAAGGAAGGAAAGGGGGGAGATGAAGGAGAGTCTGGCACAGAAGAAAGAATGTGGACTAGATGTAAAGATTCCTGTTTTCTAGTCTATTCCCTACAACTTTATATGTGTGACCATAGTTTGGTTATTCTACCTTTCTGTCTCAGCTTCTTCAACCCCCAAATAAGGATCCTGGATGCTCCCACCTCTAACACTGGAACAATTCATCTCATTCTATGTAGAAGATAGTTTATAAAATATTATTATAAGCAGAATCACCTGTTCCAGTTAATTACTGGTGGGAGTAGGGGGTCCTCCAAATGGCATCATCTGGTCCCCATTACCAGCTAACCATTGTCATTGTAAAGTCTGGTTTTAAGTCAAACAGGTGCAACCACAGTGGCCAAAAATGTAACTTCTATTTTTAACACTGTTGTTTTACACACACCTGGCAAATACGTTTATAAACGCTTGCCAATTTATTATTTGTTTATTTACTTATTTATTTACAGCAAATGTAGAATTCTGAGAAATGACACTGAAAGGAAATAACAGTCTTATAGGGCATACACAGATATAATGATCAGACATTGATAAAAAATAAAAAGTAAAAAATTTTATGAAAATAAAAAGCAAAAGTTTTAGCAATATTTTACTAAAATTCCTATTAGCCGGAATTCTCAAACATCTACATGTTTATGTTATAACTGATGCTTTCCCTCAGACACAATATCTTGAAGGACCTTTAGAATCATAAAAGAAAGTTTAAATTGTGTTATCCAGTTGGACAGGTTACAATCTTTTCATTGTCTACTTAACAAGATACTTTATTAATAAGAACACTTATCCCCTAACAATTCTGGGAGAGAGACAAAGACAGACAGAGAGGCAGATGCAGAGATAGAGAAAGGGGCACTATGGCATACTGTATATAGAAATCCAGCCTCTGACTGAAAGACCAGGGTTAAATTCTGCCTCTGATTAAAAATAGTTGTTAACCCTAGGAAAGTCTATTTAATCTCTGTTCTCCCCAGCAATTCTCTAAAACCATAAATTGCTTAACTGACAGTTCCAGGTCTTCATTGGTATTTTGTCATGGGGAATTTCCTATATCAAT